CCACAACGTCCCACGTCCTAAGCCGCCATTCGCCGTATCCAGAATGTTGTGGGATGGTACTTGCTTCCAAAAACAGAAATATTAATAGATGAATAACAGGTTATTATCGGCAAGTAAGTAAACTTTATCTCCTAAAATCGGCGTTACAATCCTTTATTAATTCACGATGTGTGTTCGTGAATTTTTTGTTCGCGATCTCTTCTTACAGTTTTGGAGCTGGTAGGATCAAACTTGGCAGGAGGACACGGGGTGGCCCGGTGATTGTTCTATTCTATATGAAGTAGCCCTACTGGGGGGGGGGGGCTAAAGCGCGCCATGGAGGTCACCCGGACATGATGGGGGTCTAGGAGTGGGTTTTCGGGATCGTTGAACCCGAATCTGGCGTCGAATTTTGTGTTCCTGCCCCCACTCAGGTTTAAAGGTGTCTTCATACACCCACTCGCAAGCTAGCAGAACCAAACGTGGCGCACGTGCTCAGGTTTCATGGGGGCGAATGTTTTTTGGTGTGGCCACAGAAGTAACTGGGGATAATGGGGGGAGCTTGAAAAGTAGACTGGGGCTTCTGTGGACCATGAGGGGCCTTTTAAACCCCGTAATGAAGTGTGGGTATTTTATTCTGGGCTCCACAATGCCCAAATACTTGCATGAATACAACAACGAAACTGAAATCAGTATACGGTGCTAAAGAAAGAGGGAAGTATGGTCAGTAGGCTGCACGTGATACAATATCGGCATTAGGGAAACAATGTGCTAATAAAATACGTGCTCAGCTATTTAAAAGATACTAAAATAATCACGCATGTTACGTGTGTCGCTCTAAGTCAAATCTGACAAAATCTCAACGTTGATCGTATAACTTTATACGACGTTTAGTAAACGCTCAGTATATTTAATTAAGCGTTTTGCACCTTGTAAGACAAAGTCGTAAAAAGTTTTTGTTTTGTCGTTGTTGTTTTCGGAAATAAGCTAAAAATTCAACTCTCTAATGTTTCGTGTATATATAAATCACGATTCGGTAACAAATACTTTAAACATCAGAGGTTACTAACTAGTCGCGAGTAGACGGAGCACGTGATATTGTTAGAATTTAACACACCACCGTGTCTATAATGCGAGCCACACACGGTAGGAAACAAAACCCAAACCAGCCAAGTGTGGCGTTTGAAGAGAAGTGGGTGTTTTGGTTTGTTTTAGAGTAAAGCACATAGGACTCTCTACTATGTCCACCGCATGGAATCGAACCTCGGATTTTAGCGTGTTTTTTTTTCGAGCAAAGCCGCATTTGACTCCCTACTGTGTCCAACGCGTAGAATTCGTATAATCCTCTCCACAAACTCATATGTTTACTAATTTACACTAACTATCTTTCTAACTATCTTGATGTTTCCGATCAGATCACCTTGATTATTTTCGAGCAAAGCCACATTGGACTCCCTACTGTGTCCACTGCATGGAATCGAACCTCGGATTTCAGCGGGTTTTTTTCGAGCAAAGCCACATTGTACTCCCTACTGTGTCCACTGCATGGAATCGAACCTCGGATTTCAGCGGGTTTTTTCGAGCAAAGCCACATTGGACTACCTACTGTGTCCATCGTGGAGAATCGAACCTCGGATTTAAGCGTTATAAGTCCGTAAATTTACCGCTGTCCCTCCGGGGGAACATTTCGTAATGATGGATTTAATCAATGTTTCCCTCACCCGTAAGCTACATAGAATAATGACACCTCGTGGACATGCGCGTGGTTCAAACGTTTAATATAGAAATGGCGATCGCTGCTTTTGTCGCAGCGCACGTAGTCCACAGAGAGGCTGTGCGCTCAACGAAAATAAACTAACTAGTAAATACTTATACTACGAAACTTATCACGAAAAAAATATATATAAAATAAAATTTAAGATGTGATGCGACTTTTGTCTGAACACCCACTTCGTCCCCCGGAGGAACAGCAGTAAGTCTACGGACTTACAACGCTTAAATCCGCGGTTCGATTCCGGAGAGAGAAAAAGGGATATTTTGTGAAGAAGTTGATAGTTCTTGTAGATTTAGAGACATTGTTTGGGGTCAAAGTTCGGTGATTTCACGAAACTATCTTATATCGATGTCATGTTACATGGTCAGTCCGAATTAGAATTTAATTTTTATCACTATTACTCAGGTAGGTTTAGGAATTACAAATTTCTCCT